GTGCTTCAAGCTTTGGTCCTTTCATCTAAACACCTTAAAATTAATTTGAATTCCTATTCAGCATTAATTTAATCAATTAAAAGCTTCAAATTTAAACTCAGATATGGTTTTAGTGTCATTAAAATCTTCGTAAACATATTAAAAGTGTCTTGGAACTGGTTCAACCCGTTTTAACTTTTATTTGTCTGGATGTTTGCAGCAGGAGGAGAAGACGGGTAAAGAGGTGATCCTGGATGATCTGGACTGCCCTCTGCAGATCCTCAGGGACTGGCCTGCAGACAGAGGTAACCAACCAACTGGATCCACTTCCTGCTGTCTTTTGATTGCTGCTGCCCCCTTCTGCTCCAGAGCTGTTATTACAGCTTTTTTTTTTTCTCTGAATGCATATTTTTGCTTTGCAGATGCAAATGAGTAATTTTGCCAAATCATCTTCTATGTCATTTTATCCTGTCAGAACTTGATTTAGAAGCTTTAAACAAACACTTGAAACAAACAAGTTTTAATCCAAACGCAAACAACGTGGGTGAATAGAAAAACAAGCTTTCAAAAGATAATTGTATTTATTAACGGGACAAAGGTGTCCAAACCAAACCGCCAATGTCAAAGTCTAATTGGTTCTATTGTAAAATGATGAATTAACTGTCATAAACAACTTTTTTTTTTTTTGGATCGGTTAACTAGCCACACCCGGGGCGTCTTAGTGCCAGACATGTAGAACAAGAAGCAGGATAAAGGTTCTGAGGCTCGCCAGGTCTGGCTTGTAATCAGTGCACCCTTATTTAGTGGCCTAGTCAAAGTTTGGACTTAAATCTGAACTGAGACAATCAGCCTGCAAAAACACAAATTCTCAGTCTAATTTCTGGTGCAAATATCTTGGCAAACTTGAAATAAGGCAAAAGCTTAGAAGTAACTTTTCAATAAAATATAAGAGCTTGTTGCAAGTCAATAATTCCTTAAATCTCAAGTGAAATAAAATAAGTACTTTCAGCAAGTACTTTCTCATGAATATTGAGGAATTATTGACTGCAAGTTAGTCTTGTCTTATTTCAAGTGAACTAAAGTATTTGCACTAGAAACCAGTCTGAAAATACTTGGTAAGATTTTGTGTTTTTGCTGTGTGGAGTGACTTTTAGCAGGTGGATTATGCTTGAAGACTCTTTAGTGTGACTGAATTGAAAAAAACAAAGAAGAAATTGCTCCACAGCAACACAACTGACTCAAGTTTATTTGTAAATCAATTTCAGCAACAAGGCAGTTCAGAGTGCTTCAAAGTGAAATGTTATTTTCTGTTCCAACCTGAGCTGATGGGAGAATATAGATATTATTTAAGAGGAGTCCTAGGATGGAGCCTTGCGGTACCCCAAATTTGTTTTCCTAAGATAAATTTTCAGATGTTAAGTCCTTGTTTGTGTTTGCTCTGAATTGCAGCTTTGCAACTTTATTATATTTTATTTTACTCTGCCGAGTTTTTTGTAAAAGTTGTGTTTCTTTACGGCATCAGGAGCGATGGTGTTCCAGCTGAAGAAGAGGCCTCCGGATTACCAGGCCAGGAAGGGCAGGAAGGACGACAAGGGGCTCAGAGGGAAAGATGGCTCCATGCCGCCGGAGAAACTGCCTTACCTGGTGGAGCTGAGTCCAGGTACGACCACAACATGTATTATTTTATTATTTTATATTATCTGCCACTGTAGCAGCAGGAAAATGACCAGTAGCTTCAGGGGAAGATTCTCATCCTGTTATGACCGAATCCGGACAGCAGGTGGCAGTGCAATGTTTCCTGTAGGTTCAGTTTGAAATGAGTCATTTAGCTGTATTTGCCTGCAAGGAAGACGAATTACTTGAAATTATATAGACTAAAGTAGAAGGATAAGCCGAATATATTGAGATTTATTTGTAGGAATGTGAAAGGTAAGTTTTGTCATAAAATCCTGGATTAGTGTTAAGCCTGATGAAATTATTAAAAGATGCTTTCTGGTCATTTTTGGTGGCCCTTCCCTGATTACTGTCTGCCCTAACAGCTTGTCTCTTGCTACTGATCCCCCTCCTCTCTCTTTGCTTCTGGTAACCCTCATCATCCCACATCATTAACTTCCCTGATCCAAAGGTGACCCAGAAACTTCCACCCACCTGGTTCTGGGTGGTGAGTTTCTGGGTAACCCGACGCCCTGATTCAGGAGAAAACTAACGCATCTACTTCATACTGACTGCAGGGCTTTACTGGTCTCTGGTAGTGGGTGAAGTGGGATTACAAGCTGGTTTGGCGACTGATTTATTGCTGCCAGGCCTGGCTGTGTGAGTGTGTGAAGGTTACTTTTATTTCTGTGCATTTATAGCTGACAGCCATGTTGGCTGAAAAATAAAGAAAATGTAATAAGAAGGCTTTTATATTGTTATAAAGTAATACAGTCCAGATTAGTTTATTCATCTCTAAAAACTAGGGATGCAGCAAAGATGTCTGTATCGGCCGATATTTATTTTTATCTTGTTGCCTTCTTTTTCTGGTCTTTTTTTTCCCCGAGGTGTCGAACCAGTGGTGAATATGACATCGGTAAATATTGGTAATCTGCTATAACAGCATATCGGATATTAATATCGGCCCAATTTTTCATATCGGCTGCTAAAACCCAACGTTCGACATAATGTGGGAAGAAGTTGGTTTCAAATTGAACTTGTACTGATGTTTTTGTAGGGACGTATCGGTATGAAAATTTGGGCCAATATCAGATATTAATATTGCTGTCATAGTCGATATATTCTCTACTGTGTTGACACATTTGGCTAAAACAGATGGCAAAAAAATGGAAACAAATATCGATTGGTTAATATTGGCCCAGTTTTATTTATCGGGCCGATACCGATATGTTTAAAAAATTACTGACATCACCCAATACTGATGATTTGGTGCCGATATATCGTGCATCCCTAGTTTTTTGGAGTAAATTTGACAGAAAATCGCTAGTTGGAATTTTACGGCTAATTTCCAATCTCTTACTTTGTAAAGTTTTGACCTTCCAACTCAAAGTTTTGCCACAAGTGATTTCCGCTTACGATCTAGAATCAGCACTTATTATCTTTTTTTAATTTTTTTATTTAACCTGTGGATCTAGTAAAATTGATCAAGTTATAAGAAAAAGGTGTTTGTAGCTGTAAGGAATTGGCGTCTGTTTAATTTTCAGTATGGACTGACTTTGCGCTTTGAATGCTTTCTGGGGTTAATCAGTTGTTGCTGCATAATTTCTCCTCCTTGCTGCATTTTCACCTTCTGCTATGTGTCTGTTTTCTTTCCCACTTTCTCATGGCATGTTTTGGTTGCCTGGGTGTGTGTGTGTGTAATTATGGGTGTGTGTGGCCTGTGCACGTGTCCTTCTGCCTCTTACCCGCCTGCCTGCCTGCCTGCCTGCTGTAGGCCGAGGGAATCACTATGCCTACTACGCCTATCGGCACCAAGAAGGTAAAATCTGCACCGTACTTCCTGTTTGCCCCGGCTGCCGGGGTTGTTCTGCTCTGAGCGCAAACACATTTCCTTAAAAAAATGTTTCCTTTTTCATAGTGATTAAATCAGATATTCATAAACAACGAGTCAGGAGTAAAAATAGTATATATGAGACGTTGTAGGTTTTTTTAATCTAAGGCTGAAATGATTAATTGGATCAGTTGTGATTAATTGATTATTCAAATAATCGTTAACTGGACTCAAAAAAGGGCATTTGCTAAAAAATATTAAAACATAACATATTTAGAGCAGTAATTAGACCAAAACTGCATAAAAAATATTCATTTCACATTTAAGATAAAATCACTTTTGTCTGTTGAAATATTTTAGCCAAAACTCAAGTGGAAACTTTACCTCCACCTGGTTCAGAATTACTGAAAAGATGCTTTGTTTCTGCGTTTTTGGCAATAAAATGTTTATCTCCTTATTTAATGTAAAGGAATTTAATTATTTATTTGCATCTTAAATGTATTTCTAATTTTGTATAAAAACGACTTACATGGTTAAATCAGAAATTTGTAGAATGTGAATTTTTTTTAATCCAATTAATCGTCAGAATAATCGATTAATCGGTTACTAAAGCAATTATTAGCTGCAACCGATAAATATTTAGGATTTTTTAAATGTCTTTGAATTAAATAGTTTGTTGCAGTAATACCATAGCTTTTTAGTGTTGTATAAGTCGGAGTTTTATTTGTTTGAGATAATTTATCACAATCATAGAGACAGAAAAATAGAATATCGGTTAAGGTTATGTTGACCTTTTTCCTTCTCTGCTTTGCTTTTACTAAACTGTTTACTAATTATCAGTAACTTCTCCACATTTACATCTGTTCACATCACTTTGGATTTTGATTTATTCTTGAAATGTCGGGTTAAATGCGGTTTGCTGAGCGAGCAGCTGCGGTTCGATCGGCGCTGATCCTGAGAGCTTCTGTGCTTCCAGACGGCTCCGACTCCAGAGACAAACCGAAGCTGTACCGGCTCCAGCACAGCATCACCGAGGTCGGCTCGGACTGCACCGAGGACGGCGCCATCCAGGTGAGCGCACGTAACCCAGACCTGCTGAACTTTGACCTTTTAACGCCCCCAGCATTTCGTGTAAACAGGAATGATTATTAGTATAATTTGTAGTTTATTTGGTTGTTTTGACGACAATCGGCACCCTTCACTCTTATTCAGTTAAAAATGTTTAAAAAGACTCAAATTGTATTAATGTAGAGTAGGGGAATGGCATATCCCCTACTCTATGGCATTCCATACATTCCATGTCAATAAATTACGGTTACACCAGTGGATTTATTGACACAGGAGAAAAAATTCAGACTTTGATACCAAACATTTTGGTGTCGAGCGTTTATTATTTTTAAAAGGACGATTTCTTTTAATATTAAAACAAGATTCTTACATAATGTTTGAAAAACATTTTGTTTTTGAACCGCAGCAGTTTTTCATTTAGGTTTTTAGGTATTTTTATTGTCTCTTTTTTTGCCTGGTTTTTGTTGCCTACAATTAGTTTCATTTTCTTTGGCATGCGAAACGTATTGTGTGATTTTGAATATATCAATATATGAATATTTAGTTTATTCTGGTGACTATAAAGGAAAGCTAATAAAAATGATTCTACAATGTAAACACTGTAAAAAAACAATCTTACCAAGTATTGTGGGTCTAGTTTTTGTGCAAATATCTCAGGTCACTTGAAATGAGACAAAACTAACTTAGAAGTAACTTTTCAGAAAGATAGAGGAACTTGTTTTAATTAGTCGATATTTGAATATTGATGAAGCATTAGTTCCACTAACAGATTATTTCACCTATAATATGAGAAAAATATCTTGTTATAAATAATCTGTCAGTGGAAGTTGTACTTTTTAATCAATATTCAAGAATTTTTGTCTTACAGCTCTGATATCTAGCTGAAAAGTTACTTGAAATTTAGTTTTATTTTATTTCAGTTGCATTGTGATATTTGCACTGGAAATGAGAGAACTAAATGTGAACTAAAAAGTTGAGATTCTGTGTTACATTTTGTGTCTGCAAAATGTGTTTCTGTTGGTATTTAACAAAAAAAAAAAACCTGCAGAGAAACATGCTTTTTGGTTTTTTCTTGTTGCAGTTTGTAGCTGGAAATCATTTATTATTGGTTTTTAAAACTGAATAAGAGCAGAAATGATATTTGTGTTTAATGAAAGGCTGATATATTTGAAACAGAACAGCAAGCTTGTTTGGTTCCAGGTGTTTCTGTTTAGCAAACCATCTGGTGCATCAGATTAAATCGACTTCAGAGCTGCAGCACGTTTCTTCTTCTGCTTCTGTTCTCGGTGCGTTTCTGTAGCTGCTCGGCCCGGGGATCCTGCCCCACCACTGCAACCTGATGCACAGCGAAGGCATGGTGACGGTGACGCCGCACGGCCACGACGCCGACACCTTCGTGGACGGCCAGCGCATCACGGAGACCACGGTGCTGCGATCTGGATCCACGCTGCAGTTTGGTTCTGCTCACGTCTTCAAGTTCGTGGATCCCATGTTCGACCAAGGAGGGAAGAGGGACCCGAACGCCGCCATGAGGAGCCGACACAAATCCGGGTGAGCGAGAGGCGAACACGAGGTTAGGAGATGAAGAAGAGGGGAGGAGGCAGGGCGTGCACAGCAAAAACATTAAGTCTTACCGAGTACTTTTGGTTTAGTTTCTAGTGTAAACATCTTTCTACTCTATAAATAAGACAAAACTAACTTAAAGCAACTTTTCAGCAAGAAATAGTCCCTTAAAAAGTTAATTATTTTACTTTTCCATGTTATACGTGTAATCATTGGCCAGTGCAATTGATACTTTTTCATCAACATTAAGTAGAGCTACAACTAATGATTATTTTAATAATCGATTAATCTATCGATTACTCAAATTGTTAATCGATTAGTTGGATAAAAATTTCTCACATTCTACAGGTTTTTTCATTTGACCAGAAAATAATTCACTACAAAATTACCTTTGTGTTTTTTAAGTGAAACAAAATAAAGTTTCATTTTTAAATAACTTTAACACTTTTTGTGCTTCCTGTGAATTTATTTTGAAATAAAAACCCACTGATGCCATTTAACTTTCCCTCAGGAATGACTGGGATTGTTGTTAGCATACAGTTAGCATCTGGTCATGGTGCGTTCACTGACTACAGGAAAGATCAGATCTTATTTATGAATCAAGCATAAAGTTACAGATTCTGATTCTTAGTGGACATTTTACAGATTATTATTATAAAAAAAAATGGAAACACATTAAAGGATGCAAATAAACAAATAGTTCAATCCCTTTTTAAATAAAAAAATTAAATGTTATTCTGTAAATGTAGTATTGCTTTAATAGATAAGAACTGAAACTTGAGGAGTTTTGGTGAAAACATATTGACAGACATAAGTGTATATATTTTCTGTACGGTTTTGACTTAATTCCTGCCCTGAATATGTCGTTGATTTCAGTTTTAATTCTCTAGTTAATAATTAATCAATTATTAAATTAGCTGATTATTTCAATAATAGATTAATCACGATTAATCAGGCTTGAGGATAAGGAAATATTTACTTGAAACAACCTACATCTTGCTGAAAAGTTACTCATAAGTTAGTTTTGTTTTATTCCAAGTGTACCAAGATATTTGAAGCAGAGACTAAAAATACTTGGTGAGATTTTGTTTTTGCAGTGTGGAGGGAATGAGAGGAAGAGCAGAGGTCTGGGGTTATGGCAGCAGGCTGCCCTCTAATCTGATCAGCATGCTGCTGGGTGGGGCCTCCCGCTCGCTGCACTTTCACAATGAAACTCGGAGCGCCGCAGATCACAGCAGAAGCGACTTAAACATGACCGTCGCCTTGGAAATATTCACTTTATAGCTGCTTAATGGCGTCATCACCCGGTAACAGTTGGAGAAAGCGAGGGAGAGTGTGAGTAACCTTTGTTCATCTTTTTATTTTAGACGATTCCAGAGGAAAAAAGTATAAATTACAGCTCAACTCTTGTCGTTTTAGTTTATAAAATCCTCCTAAAGTTGTCAGAAGTAATGGACTTCATTGCAGGATGAACTTAAATTCAGTTTTTGTGGCTCACCTGAAGAGTTAGCTGTATATTTATATTTAGATGTGTTCCTCCCAGTGTGTGAGTGTTGAGTTAATATTTACACTCCAGCCTCAAACCTCCCATCAGGTGATTTCCATTAGCTTTTACAGGCGTGGAGAAAAAAGTAATCAGAAAGGAGAGCTGGAATTAGAACCTGTTGGATTACTCTCCATGTCGAAAGAGAAAATTAAACCTGGTTTTTGTCTGAGGGCTTTAAGATCTGCTGGGCTGGAGTTTTCTTCTTTTGTTCCAACGACATGCTGATTTCCTGAACCAGCTGCATCATTTTGTCTTATTTTACCTGAAATATTAGGATATTTGTAATGAAATAAAGTTGACAGCATCAAAAGGAAACATTTCTGTGTCTTCATCTACATGGTTTTGAAAAAATGCAAACCTGCTTTTATGCGTCACCCTTCCTTGTTCCTGGTCCTCCTCTGCCAAGTATGTTTGGTTTGACGCCAGCAATGACAAACCTCTCTACCGGTTCCTCCACCTGCTTTATGAATGAGATCCTTCTGCCCACACGCTGCATACGGCAGGAAGTTTGACATTTAATTCAATTTGTGGTGGAATGAAAACATTACAAAAGGAATCTTGTTTCGGTTCATGTTTAATTTACGTCATTTGGCACGTTAGATAAAAATGTATAGAAAACCTTGAAATTAATTAAATTAAATTTGGATTTTGGTGCTGTAGCAAACTGGGAGCAACTCCCACCACCCCCAGTTATGACTTTGTGTTTCAATATGGCCGCTTCTCACATCAGCAATTGTAACCTGTATCAAAAACATGTTTACTTTTCAGAACAGACATGTAAAAGTGAGTCTAAAATTAATGTTACATGTGGCGCCTCCAACTCTAAACTGGACAAGTAAAAAGTGATGTTTGCCTTAGAAAGTAAAGCTTAAATTTACGTTTCTTTTTTATTTATTTATTTATTTTTTAAATATTTGTGGGTGTCGCCATGTTCAAATTTTGAATTCTCTAATCTTGGGTCTGACAATTTTGTTTGGCCAAAACAAACGCATAATGGAGCAGCAGTCAGTATGTGTTTACATTTGTGATGGTAGGAGAGAAAAGACTCAGAAAGAAGCCTTTTGGGTGGCGTCTCGTAGTTCTGATGGAAACTTATTGTTTTTGTAAGTGTGGATTTGATCAGGTGATCAAATCATAGTTTGAGATATTTGGCAACAAAAAGACGACAGACCTGATGGTGACTCCAAATATTAACATTCAGTTTCAGATGCAACAGAAAAGGTCAAATATGTCGAGGGACATTTCAGATTCGCCATTTTTCACCCAACTCCCCCATCGTAGCACTCTGCTGGGATTATGTGGTCCGAGGGAATCCAGGGGCTGTTTTCCTTCTAAATT